CCCCAGCCCTCCGACACCACCTGAACCCTGATTTAGAACCCCAAACCTCAGCACCGCGACCACCTGCCTTTAACATGGCTCAGGGTTCTATGATCTCCTTCCCTGTATATCATAGCAGAATATGCTGGGTAACACGATACCCTAAACACCCAAGGCGTCATGTTGATACCCTAAACCCTAAACCCTAAACCCTAAACCCTAAACCCTAAACCCTAAACCCTAAACCCTAAACCCTAAACCCGAAGGAATTTCTCCCAAGGCGTCATGCTGATGCTGCAAAAGCCCACACCAACGCCTGAACCCCAAGAGCAGGTGATCCAACTACATCTCCAACAACACACCCTAAACCCTAAACCCTAAACCCTAAACCCTAAACCCTAAACCCTAAACCCTAAACCCTAAACCCTAAACCCTAAACCCTAAACCCTAAACTGACCTTCCCGCAGCGTAGGAAGGCAGGGGGAGCTCAGCGCGTGCACGAGCGACAGCATTGGCAGGCGCTAGCACTCGGGAGACTCAGACCGACGAGGCGCAGATTGCCCGAGTTTTGGGGTTTAGGGTTTAGGGTTTAGGGTTTAGGGTTTAGGGTTTAGGGGCCACGGAGATCTACGGTCTCCTCACCGAAGAGTTGCCTCGGAATCGTGCCGGGGCAACAAGCCGACCTTCGACACGCTCCAGTGCGCGGTCGATGGAACCCACAACTAGGAGTAGGGTTTAGGGTTTAGGGTTTAGGGTTTAGGGTTTAGGGTTTAGGGTTTAGGGCTACTAGAGCCCAGAGTAGGCCGTTATTCCTGGTTTTTAGGGTTGAGGTTCCCTTATCAGCCACTTTGGGCCAAAAAGGGGTGCCCTGTTTACTCTTGGGGTGCTCTTGGACAAACACTTCGGGGACCTGGCCACCAACTGGATGGACTCTGGAACGTACCCAAGAAGCTGGAAGACTATGCTGAACACTCATTTTAAAGGGCACCCCTCTTATGCCCAAAATACCCCCGAAAAGGGTGCCCCTGTTTTCGGACACCCCCATGAACTCCCATTATACTTGTTTATAAACGAATACAGTCCTGTGGGAAAAGAAGCACTAAATGGCCCTTTGAATTCTTCTGTTAAATGCGCAAGAGAAAGCGCACACGGGCAAAGAAAGGGCCATGAAGTGCATTAAATATGCTATCCGCCCGTGCATTCTTACAATCCAGATCATCGCTCTCGATGTTAGAACGGGGTCTCTTCCCGGCATTCCAGAGCTCCCCGCCAGTCCAGGTAACAACAGGCAAGAAAGAAGGCAACGCGATTTAATCTTCTAATCTTTGGTCTCGCGGGAATAGAATTGAGAAGGCCCCGTTCAAAATGCTGCAAACGTATTCAATTTCCCTTCACTTGAATGTAGTTCGTATAAGTTTAGAAAGAAGTGTACAAGAGGGAGAAAACGTAATAGTATTGTTGGCATTTTACTGCACAAGAAAACTAAGTTTAAGATGTAGGAAAGGTGTGCTGCTTGAAGATTATTCCAGACAGGCTTGTGCGAATAAGAATACTACCTTATGCATCTTAAATCCAGCATTTGGAGGGAACTAACCCAAAACCGGGCGTAGAGGCGGTCTTAGTATTGGCTTCAAGGATTTTTCGTTTTTGTTGGCCCAGGGTTTCCAGATTTTGGTCGCCCAGGCCATCGACGCCGAAGCAGCCGACGATGAAGTCCTCTCCAAGATGGCGGCCAACTCAGCATACAGGGATACTAGGAGGGGCACCCAAATCACACTATTCAACCCTCACAAAATGTATGCATATAGATAAATACAGAAATATCTATATCTATATCTATATCTATATCTATGTATATATATATATATATACATATATTTTTTTGTTTATTTATAGCTATATGCATTTATTTTTATATGTACACACACAGAATGTTGTATACACCACCTTGCATTCCTGCCGTTCAATGCTCCTAAGTAACGTGCCCAAGAATAGTCCCTAGCCTATTCACCTCCGCGGATCCCTTATAAGAGTCCATCCTCTGGCACACCCCCCATGAGGGTTGTTAGGGTTCAGGGTTTAGGGTCAAGGGTTTAGGGTTTTGTGGCTTTCCTGTTTAGGGTTACGATAAAGCCCTACTTAGAGAACCCTAGAACTACCCATGAACCTTCCAAGCAACAAGATCTGGCATCAATATGTCTCAATTTGGTCGTAGGGCTAGGGGTTCAGGTTCTATGCCTATAGCGTAGCGAGGTGTGGTACCTTTTCCGACCAATCAGTTTAGGGTGTAGGGTTCGGCTGTCGGGTTTGGGGTTGTGGGCAACTTCCGAATGCCAACAAGAGCTGAAATGTGTTATCGTCGCTGTACCTTTGGCTGGCAAAGCACGGAACGCAAAGCTTGAACCCTCTCTTCCTATAGTCGGACGTGCGCCAGCTCCCATCTTCCGAACATCAGAATCTCCACAGCCCTAAACCCCAAACCCAAAACCCCAAACCCTAAACCCTCAACCCTAAACCCCAGGAGGAGGCCGTGCAAACGAAGCCGCCGTCGAAGGCCCCCCCGCAGTGGCCCCAGCCGTCTTGGGTGTCAGTGTTCGGGGCTCGAGGCGGTCCGAAGCACCCTAAACCCTAAACCCTAAGCCCTAAACCCTAAACCCGTAAACCCTACACCCTAAACCCTAAACCCTACTCCCTCAATCGAACTCTCATGTTAGGATGCTGCACTTTTCATGTTTTCAACCTCGTATAGACCCTTTTATCTTCTTGCGGCTCTTCTCAGTGTCTCTTAAGTTGCTACGACAACCTACTTGTTTTCAGGACTTTTGTTACTATGTGGACTTGTTTTTTCTCATCATCCTCATCATCCTCATCATCATGATCATGATACCCAAAAGAGGGTTTAGGAATTGTGGTTTGGGAGGGTGGAGATTGGCGGGGCATGGTGTCTTTTAACCCGAAACTCTAAACCCTAGACCTGCGTTTGGTTTGGGGTGCGGGCAGTGGTTTTGCATTGAGGCTTGGGCAGGAGGGTTTATCCAGTAAGTATCATGTCGCTATGTAGCCCCACCGTCCCGCAAAGTATGGACGGCAGGGGCTATGACATAATCATTGTTGCGATTATGATTGTTTCTATGACTAATACTCCCGAAGTCCAGGATCTGACATGTAGAGTACCCCATCCTCAGCCTCCATATACACTCTCTACTGCAGAAAGAGGCTTTATGCCGTAGTTCGGATGGGCGTCCCTTAACCCTAAACCCTAAACCCTAAACCCTCAACCGGCTGAGGCGCCCCTGCTGAGCAGAGGAGGCCATGCATGCCCACAAGGTGGGCCCAGTCGAAACCCCCCAGCCATCTCCCACTGCTTGCAAGATTTTCAATCAGCGGTTTAGGGTTTAAGCTTCAGGGTTTAGGGATTCGAACTGGGGCCCTGAAGCCCGAAGCTGCTTCAATCCCAACAAGAACTTTGGCAAAGGAGGAAAATCTCAAACCTTAGTCTCGAAACCCTAAACCCTGAACCCTGAACCCTGCCCCAAACCCGAAAAGCCCAATAGGTGCCTCCCGGTGTACTCGAGGTGCAGCCTTCAGCTTGGCAGCTTGGATTCGGGTTGCTGAGCTCAGGCGCAAGGCAGCGCCAATTCTGTTCAGGGTTCAGTGGCCATCGTCGTCTTCAAGAATATAAACAAAAGACAAAAAGCAAATACATTAAGATGTATATACATGTATCTACATGTGCATATACACAATTATGTTTAGGGTTCAGAGTCTAAAGCATGGCGGAAGGTCACGGCAGTACAAGCACAGAGCAGGAGCAACTGGTTATCATGTGACGAGCACACGCCGCATAAATGTGCCGCTGTGCTTCGCAAGTCTCACCAGACTGGCGTACCTGTCCGCAGAGCAGCGGATAGAAAAGTGCTGCATGAAGCCTCAAACACAAGGTATGCAGGGCTTCTAGCAGGAACACTCCCCCCCCCCCCCCCCTATCGTCGCAGCTTCTGCAGAATTCATTGACATCAGCCCTGCGTGCATGCAACTAGACATAGTCGAATCCTCTGAGAAAGCAGCGACACTCTGTGAAGTGGAAGGCTATGTATATCCCGGTCACACTTTGCGGTCGTCATGTTGCAACAGGCTCGGATAACGACTGGACAAGCAAGTCGTACAAGTAGCTGAGAGGTTTCGTGAGGCGGGGCATTTCAGCTCTACAACTTTGCTACATCATCATGCGAGGTTCTTTGTCGATAACAGACACACACACAGATCCAAGTGCACGTTTTTGTGAATGCAATCGGTTGTCGCTCGGTCGCTCCCGAGACATGTGCCTAGACACGCGCTGGGCGTTGTTGGCTTTTTCATTCGGTTGAAAGTCCCAGGTCAAAACTAGCGGTCGGGAGTAAGGAGTTGCTTTCTGAATGTCTGTAGCCTGCAGAACCAAGGTCCCAGGGTCCCAGACCACCACTCACAGGATCCTGCAGCCCTTCGTGTGTATTTGGAACTTCGTGCAATGTCTGAAGCACACGCTTCAAAATTGTTGAGTCAACGTCGCCCTAGGGTTTAGGGTTGAGGGTTTAGGGTTTAGGGTTTAGGTTTAGGGTACCAAATAACCGTCTCAAGAATCGAGGACGTCAGGGTCGCGTGCTCGCTTTCAACGCCTCCAGTTCAATCGCGTACTACCGGTCACGCGAGTCGTGCCAAGAGTGGAAGTTTTTGCATTGGGGGGGTGAGAGAGTTCCTAAAAGCACCAGCAGCACCAATGTGACAAATTAGTCTATGCCCCGAAACATCTTGATAACAGTGACGATGATCTTCTTGTTGAGCCACTCTCTTAGCTGGTTCAGCGGCCTTGTGTTGAGACTGGTGTTTTGCAGGGCCTGACTATGGCAGCTTCACATGAGGCTGCGCGCGCGGGTCATGTGCAGACTCTCCTTAACTGTGGCTCAAGAGCTACACACCCTCATTTCAGCCACTAGCCCGCAAGGCCACTGCGCACGGGTGCAGGTCTGCGGCTTGCCGAAGGCATGGCTGCCATGTGGAAGATGATGTGGTTCCTACCCCTCGTGCTTAAGGCACAGGACCCCCTCGCTGAGTGGTTGGATGACTTGAAGTTTTCCTTGAAGGATGTGACCCAGGAGAAGGCAGGCATCACCGTCACAGCATCAAAGTTGGTTTGCCAGAACCTGCAGCTCACAAGCGTTCAGTCTGCTGTGGCGGGCGTTGGGATGTCTGTTACTTTGAATGGCGTGGGCATCCAGTGCTCAGGGCACTTTGACTACCATGGCTTGGCCATCGTCAGCGGCTCCGGCGATGCTTGGCAGTCCAGTGGTACCCTTTACCCTTTGTTGCTTGGTTCTGGGTTCCCTCATAAAGTAAGCAACCCAAGGAATTGTGCCCTTATTGTAATATGGTTCCTGGGCAACCAAGGATCTCAATGCAGTTGTGAAGAGCAGCCCTGCTTCTACCGCGACGGTGGTTTTGCAGGGTGGCAAATTCGACCAGAACGTACCTTGGGCTGTGGACGCTGCGAGCTGCTCCGCTGACATTGATTTCAAGCTCACTTTCTCGGGCTCCATCCTCTCCTCCATCGTGAACCTTTTTTCTACCCCGATCTCCATGCTGATCAGGACGCAGGCAATCCAGCAAGCCTGCGATCAGCTGAAGCAAGTGGCAGCTGGCCCACTGTCCAAGAAGCTGATGGCTTTCAACCATCTGATGCTCCCCCCAACCTCGACAACGCGAACAAACCTCCTGCTTGAAAGCAGTGCCCATGAGCATGCGGAGAGGGTGGACGAGGGCTTGAAAGTCACCTTCGAAAGTGTGGCGGATGACATGCTGGCAGCGTCAGCCCCGACCCTGCCCGGAGCTCCCCCTGACAGGGCAGCCCACGGCAACCTTCGCTTTGAGAGGAGGCTCGCCCAGGGCGAGACGACTGTGGACTGGACGCGTGATCCATCCGTCAGTTGGATGTCATGGCTGCTGGATGACGTCATCGGCCCGGAGAAGATGGACCAGGCGCTGCGCTGGGCGTGGAAGGATGCGCAGTCCGTGGACATCCCAGGTCCCCTGACCCCAATCGCCACCAGCACCATTCAGCAGCCCGATGCCGGCCTGGAGCTCAAGGTCGAGGCCTTCCTGAAGCAGGCGGTGATCGAAGGGGCTGATGGCATGTCCGCCTTCACCCCAATACAGGCCCGTGGCCCCAATGACCTGCGCTTCAAGGTGAGCTGGGGAACACCTGATCGCCCGGCGTTTGGCATGGGAGTGGATGTGCGTGTGAAGGTGCAGGCCATCGACCTAGCCACTAAGCAGCCGCAGGCGTCAATGGAGCAGGAGATGAGCCTACACCTCGCGCTCTTGAAGCCCTCTCTGGATGTCACTGGCGAGGTGCTCGTTCTGGCAAGCGAGTGGCCTGGCCAGCACACGCTGGCACAGTTCTTGGTGGCACCCCATGCATGCCTCACCAGCATCTTCAAGTCTGTGCCTTCTGTGAAGACGCTGCAGGCACAGGGGCCTGGTAAAACTCATGTTCAGCTCAGCTTGCTGCATGAAGTCACGTCACATTATATTATCATTATTATTCTACACTACTATTATTCTGATGATGATTACTATTATTAGTACTATTGCGATTTGGAATCTCTCAAATGCAGAGGTGCAGTTCGCCGGCCTTGCGGCACCGCTCAGCTTTGAGGCGAAGACTGTGGGGGCACTGGAGGCGTCCTTGGCCGCGTTGCTGAACAATGGCGTGGCCTTGTTCAACAAGGTGGGCGGCTTATGAAATTGGGGTATTTCGGGGCTAGGGTTTCGAGTTTGGGGGTTTCGGGTTTAGGGTTGAGGGTGGTTTCCGACATTGGGGGTACCTTATTGGGGCCCCTTGTATAAGGGAACACTACTAGTTGGAGTCAAATTAGGGGTCCCCGATTTTGGTTAAACCCCCAGGTCTACGAGCCGCTGCTTCCCGGTGCCATCGAGCGCTTCGCGGGCTCCGGTGCGGTCATGAGCCAGCTGAATGCGCAGCTGCAGGTGCAGCTGAAGCCTGAGCAGTGCGTGAGCCCATCCGTGGCATCACAGCAGGCTCGGCAGACGACTCCACAGTACTACAGCAACTGGCCTCCCATTTTCGACAACTATCTGCGAAAGTGGATTGACAACTTCTTCGACGGCCTGATTGCGCATAATACCACAGTGCTGGATCAAGGGCTCTCCAACATGCCGAAGCTGCCTCTACCGTTGGATGCACAGTTTTCTCTGACAGAGCTACTTGCGACCGGCTTGGATCAGGTGAGCAAGCTTCGTGTCTTGGTCCCTTCCGAGCAGCACTTAAGTTGGCTGGGAATGAGCGCGGTGGCCAAGTGCCCGAGTCCTCAGGCTCCTTGGCGGCCAACTTTCTCTGTGAGTGGCAGTGTGGATGCCGGCAACTTCAAAGGCAACGGCGCGGTCATCATGGAGATGCCCTGTGGTGCAGGCGATGCACAGCTGGCTGTAGAGTTAGACGTCTGGGCCTTGCTGGACATGCAGCTTCCACCGAGCATGACCTGCGCGCTCCTATCGCCGCTGTCCCACCTCGATATCGAGTCGGTGAATGCGACCTGGACTGGAAATGGCAGGCTCATCGTGAAGCCAACCGATGGTCCCTCACAAGAGCCCTTGCAGCAGATGTGCAATCTGCACCCGCGGCTCTGCGAGCTGGGCGTGAAGTTCCGTGAGTACGTCTCCACTACAGCAGGTGCCACCCGCTTGTACCACCTAGCCCGCGATACCGTCCTCACCAAGTGCACCGCCGTGCCCAAGCTGTCTGCGCCCCAGCAACTCGATTCTCTACCGAAGGATGCCTTGGGCTACAGCTATGTGGACGCTGACAGTACGAAGCTCTGGCTTGCCAGTGTCCTGATTACCCTGGCCCTATCTTGCACATACAGCTTTTGCGCGCAGCTCGGAAAGATACTCCGTCGCGATGCCTCCTGTGAGATGATGCCAACCACAGCCATGCCCTTGGCCACGGTTTGCTGGTTTGGGAGCACTCGCTCCCAGGCAAGCATCATCCCTAAGACCGCCACCGTAGTCACCAGCACACTCATGGCCGCCGGACTCGTTGCTCGCATCCTCGCATGCTTCTGGCTGCCATTCGCCGCGGCAGGTGTGGAGGTCAGTCAAGCCTCCGGGGCCACGGTCTTCAAAGACGACGCTTTGCTGGAATACACCTTCTTCGGCATCGGCGTGCAGTTTGGAGTTGGGGGCTCCCTGTACTGCGAAGTCCTGTGGTTCTTCATGTCCTTGGTGTCTTCGCTTACGTCCCACGTGATCCTCGTGCTGGTTTGGTTGACGCCTTTCCTGGCGAAGCAGCGCCGCCAGCTGCTTCTGATCGCACTGGTGCTTGCCCGCTTCCCTCTGTCGGAGATGGAGACAACGGGCAACACCGCCATGGCTTTGAGCACTGATGTGCGAATGCCCCTGGGCATGACGCAGACTCTGGGCCTGGGCTTGCAGGCTGGAGCCTATGCACCCCGGCCAGCATACCTAGCATCAGACATGTACTCATGGATGAACTTGCTTGTTCAATAATGTCCGTTTCGAAGTTGCAATGCTGTACTCTGTCCCAGTTTTTTTGCGATGCAGCTTGCAACTGCACTGGTGTCATGGCCCAGGCATCCTGGTTCTCCAGTGTATGCACGTTGCTCGCGAACCTGCTTCTCCTCAAGCTGCTGCCGCGGCCCATCAAGGAGAAGGACTGGGCAGCCGGCAAGGCGCCACTGCAGGTGACCATCCTGCAGGGCCTGGCCAGCTGTGCGCCTAGACCCCCTTAAGGGACATTTCCATATTTTCCCTTATTTGGGTTTAGGAGGATCATATTCAGGAATATTTTCCAGAGAATTTCTAGGGGCAATCCTAGGCGCTGATCGCAGGCCTTTATATGTGGTGCCTGTGCGACTTCATGGAGGCCGTTACTGGTGGCATTGCCGGTGCTCTCATCGACCCTTCCGCCTTCAGCGCTGCAAGCTTGGGCGCTACTGACATGGGGCTGAGGATTATGGTGAGCGTGACCGCCTTCGGATGCCCAATCTTGCACATCATCGCCTTCCTTCTGGGTCTCTCTGGCAAGGCTCCCGGTGTTGCTCGCAGCTTGGCAGGCTTTGCCGCCACTTTCTGCCTGTTGGACCTCTTTGCCATCGGCTTCTTAGTCACCTTCATCGAGGGCGTCAACGGCTTTGCCTCCTCCGCCATCCGCGGCTTGGCCCCAGCGGTTTGTGACTTGGTTGCCCAGTGGTACCCTTTACCCTTTTTTTGGGTTCTTGGTTCCCTTACACAGTAACCAACCAAAAACAGGGTGCCCTTATCATAACATGGCTACTGGGCTACCAAGGTGAGGTGGCCAAGGAGGCTGTGGGGGAGGATTGCTTGAGCATGCAGATCAACGTCGTCCCCCTTGGCACCATGGGCTTGCTGTTGGCCGCAGGTGCTTGGAATGTCCTCTTGGGTGTCCAGATTCTCGGGGTTGGCCAGGGCAAGCCCGCCGTAGCGGCCGAAGCGGAAGGCGGAGTAGGGCCAGGGCCAGTGCAAAACGGGAGCGCGCCGTCAACGTTTCAGGATTGCAGAGACCCTGTTCAACCTACAGCATGAGGGTTTGTTTTGCTTACTAATTGTACATAGCAGTCAGCCATGAATTAGGCCGCAGGGCTTACAAGGCCCCAGCTTCGTCTTGTCGACCCTGGTGAGGGCTGAGACAATCCCAGCCCACACTGACCATAAGCCTGCATCTGACAGTGATTGATGTTCAAGAGGGAAAGCTTGCTTCAGGCAATCCTGAAAGATGAGCGCAACTGACTGTAGGGGCAGGCATGGTCAATGGTGATGCCACCCGAGGGGGGTGCATTTTGCGTCTCACGACAAGCGGATACACAGCAAGCATTTCAACATTAAGGTGATGCCCTTGCCCAGTCACCGCGGCAGCTTGTGCGGCGGTGATGGACAGGGCTGGCTTTGCATGTATGTCCCTTGCATGAGAGTTTTCAAGTGTTGCACATGGCCGACCGCGATCACGCTTCAAAAGACGTTCGATGCTTCGCGCTGCGATTCGGACCTGTGGATTGCTGCAGCGCTGCTAGTTGGCTGACAGAACCTGCGCGTGTGCGGGGTTACATGATTAGGAGGTTCGAAGGTGATATTGAAGGGGAAGGAATGGCTGGAGTTGACAATGCTTGCTCTTGAACTCAGAACTGCTTAGAGGGCACCCTGTCAAATACGCTTAATGCTTGCAACCAGAAACAGCGATAACGCTGCTCTTCAAACTTACTCTGCCCCTGAACCCTAAACGCTGAACCCTAAACCCTAAACCCTGAACCCTAAACCCTAAACCCTAAACCCTAAGCCTCCAAGGAGCTTGCCTCCCCCCACTGCAGGTGTTCTATGCTCAGGCCATCCGTGTTGTAGAGGTCCGCTGGTGCCTGTAGAGCGCCCCCCTGAGCTAACAGCCTCCCTAAAACAGACACCCCCACCCCCAAAAACAAAACCAACTGAAAACCTAAAAAAAATTCCGTTACAGCACCCAAAGCCCCCCAAAAACCCTTGAAGCCCTTAAACAACCCCAAAGACTGCCAGAATCCCGGGCCACTGGTTTAGGGTTTAGGGTTTAGGGTTTAGGGTTTAGGGTTTAGGGTTTAGGGTTTACAGTTGCCTGCCATGGGCTCCCAACTGCTGCACGCTGACTGCGCAGCGGCATGGCGGCATGCATCGGGGGTCGCATTTTATGTCGTGGGTTTTAGGGTTTAGGGTTTAGGGTGTAGGGGTTAGGGTTTAGGGCTTAGGGCTTAGGGCCTAGGGTTTAGGGCTTAGGGCTTAGGGTTTTGGGTTTTGGGTTTAGGTTGGACCCTGCATACAAAGCGCTACAAGTAGAGGGACCCTGTTTGTTTCTCTTTAAAGCATGAATGGAGATGTCTAGCATTAGAGGTCGTAAAATGATAAAAGGGTGTCTGGTTGTATACATATATATATATATATAATCGCAAGTAGTTGTGGCAGATTACGTTTTAACAATGAGTTATGTGAAGTAAACATTCAAAAAAAACAGTAAATGATATAATATAACACAAGTTGGAACTTGTCAAAAACAAGTGGAATCCTATCATAACTGGGGTTGTGGCGATCCACTTACATCGTACTCTAAGACATGACTTCAACACAAAAGTCTGGGCGCTTATATCTCTACTTGTAGCTTGCGGGCCCAAGCCCTGAACCCTAAACCCCAAACCCCAAACCCTAAACCCCAAACCCCAAACCCTAAACCCCAAACCCCAAACCCTAAACCTCAAACCCCAAACCCTAAACCCCAAACCCTAAACCCTAAACCCTAAACCCGGACATGGCATGGCCAGGCCACTCCTTGAGGGCCATGCCTTGGTGGGGCCCACAGCTCCTGCTGCTCCTTGCTGAGCTTCTCCGCTGTGAAGGGTGGAGGTTTAGGGTTTAGGGTTTGGGGTTTAGGGTTTAGGGTTTGGGGTTTGGGGTTTAGGGTTTAGGGTTAGGGTTTTGGGGTTTGGGGTTTGTGGTTTGGGACTAGGCTGGAGGTTCGAGGGTTTCGGGTTTTTTGGTTAGCTTTAGGGGTTTGGGGGTTTCGGGGGGTTTGAGGGGTCTTGTCTACTTGTGCAGCCGAAACATAAACTCCAAGCCTGAAGACTGTGAAGTTTGGCGTGTTGGGACGTATGTAGGCATGTAGGGGGCCTCTGCGCGTTCAAGCATGCCTTGTTGAAGGGTGGTCCCACTGCGGCAGCCAGTTTAATTCGTGTGGTTTCAGGCGGTTCGTAGTTATTGCCCCGCCGAGGTCATGAACACGATCATGCTACGGTCATCCCCGGGGACCACATGAACCCTAAGAGCCTTTATGGTTCACGTTACTTTAGCAGGAATTATGGTAGTATAGGGTTTGGGGTTTAGGGTTGATGGCACATTGCCTTAATAAGGATTAGAGGAGTAGAGGGTACAGGAACCCATTTGGTTTCTCAAGGATGTTTTTGGTCTCCATAGCCCCCTGGAAGCCAAAAACTGTTGAGAGCTCCCGAAAATGTCTGCAGGATTCCTGTCAAATTCTGCAAGCCTTCCGCAACAGAGAAAGCAAGAGAATACGGGTTAGGATCTAGGGTTTTAGGGTTTTGTCTGTTTTGGTTTTAAGGTTTAGGCATCTCAGGACTACGGCGCGCGAGAGCCGCCACTGGGTTGTGGATGCTCGCGGCAATCTCCTTCCAGAGTGAGAGCCTCAGGATCTAGCCCCTGAAATTAGGGGTACCGTATCGGGGTCATAGCTACAAGGGGATCCTGCATTTGGGGGCCTATATTTGAAGTCCCCTATTTTCGTAAAACCCACGCATACTCTTGCTTCGCCAATGGATGAACTGAACTTTATATTATGGGGTTTCCTTATTTTGGTGGGAATAAGACAGGTTTATATGTTTTTGCCTCGTTCTTGGAGAAGTAAGGAACTGTGGGAGGTGACGAGGGCTCGGCCCATTGATCTGCAGCTGTTAGGTCTCTTAGGTGCTGAGAATGAATCCTTCAGTCATGGTCTACGTTCCTAGCCTTGCATGTGCGACAGCGGCATACCCTTGTGGCCCTTGTGGGTATTTAAGCCGAAGGTCAAAGGTGGTGAGATCCCACTGCCCCACAACCCGAACCCTAAGCTCCCAGTCTGCAACTCAAACAGCTCTTACAGCCCGGGAACTGCCTCTGGTTCCAGCGTGTGCATGAAAATTCATAGCCTTAGCCTTTTACACGCACAACCCCTCAAGCTTCAAACCTTAGACCCTAAACCCTAAACCTTAAACCCTGAAGCCTGAACCCTGAACCCGAAAGAGCGCTCTCCGAGGGCCCGGAAACCTGCAGCGGAGCTGTCGCGCAGCTTGGCCCCGAAAGCTAGAATGACCTATCTAGTGCCAAGGGGCAATTTGGGGTTTCGGCTTTCGGGTTCCGGGTTTAGGGGGCTCATGTGGAGGTCTCCCAAAAATAGGGGTGCCCTTTTTGGGGCCTTCGGCCCACGGGGACTGGCGATTCGGAGGGCATGGGAGTTCGGGAGTACGGTGCGTGATTTGCTGCAGACTGCACCGCTCATGATCAAATTCCGGGTTTAGAGTTCAAGGTTCATTGCCAGGCATGTTGGAGATGTTTTGCGTGAAGATAATGGATGCAAAAGACCACCTGCACAAGCGAGCTTTCAGACCTTAAACCCTAAACCCAAAACCCAAAACCCTAAACCCTAAACCCTAAACCCTAAACCCTCCCGTCTTCTTCTGAGTTGTCAACGTCTCTTTGGTTCGCCGCGATGCCGCGCCCGGAACCAGCCGGGGCCCCATCATTGCTTGCCCACATAACGCAAAATTTGTCATTCAGGTTTAGGTTTAGGGTTGCAATGGCTGCTTTGTAATAGGGTGTGTAGGGTTCGTATGGATCATATTCAGCACACTACTAGTTGCCGATCAGCACCAGTCATGTGCTCGTTGTTGTCGCTTCAAGCAGAGTCAGAGTCTTAGTAGTAGAGTACGTAGGTAACCTGTAACCTTTTTGGGGTAACATATTCCCCTTATAATCCCAAAGGTTAACCCTTAAAACCCCTAGGTACTGGACAACTAAGGAGTGTGTGAAGGTCCTGCCTGTCAATTTGGCCAAAACGGTTCAGATCCGAAGACCTACCTCGTCAGCCCCAAGGAATCGACCTACACCCTAAACCCTAAACCCTAAACCCTAGACCCTAGACCATTCGACACGACATGGCGCTTCATGTATGCAGCCTCGGCCAGAGGCTTGTCCTTTGGTGCGTGGCCGTGGTATCCTCAGGACCACCAGGAGACTGCATGAGTTTGCCCAAAACAAAAGCCCGTGACAAGCAGTCATCTGCTTGGTTTCTTGTAACAAAGCAAGAAGCAACTCAGCTATACGGCGCCCCAACGCAGCAACAAGCCAGATAAGCACTCCAACCCGAAGCTGTAATCCGAAACGACCATTAAGCCTAAAATCAGCATGAAATTCAAGGCCCGACGTCCCCAAGACCCTATACCCTGTATTCCTCAAGCTTCTGGTGTTTTGTAGTGTTTGAAAAGACACCCAAACCCGATGCCCTCAAACCCTAAACCCTAAACCCTAAACCCTAAACCCCAAACCCTAAACCCTACACGTCTTGAGCTCGCTCCCGGCAGGAGCTGGCTCAGCTGGAGCAGAGGGCAGCGCCCAAGCCGGGCAACCACAGCAGTGCCTCGGACAGAGAGTTGTTTTTTTTAATGTCGAACTCTGACTATATAGAGTTTAGGGTTTATAAGGTTTAGGGTTTAGGGTTCAGGGTTCAGGGCTGAGAGCTTAGGGTCTAGGTGCGGGCCCCTGCAATACAAGTCCCGTCCTTCTCATGAGTTTCTCATGGAGTGGGTCTTTGAACTGATCTTGGTGAGCTCTGCGAACAGCAGCCAGTAGCCTAGCCCTGAGCCACTGCACCCATGAGTCCTCCCAAAAGCGGTTTAGGGTTTAGTGTTTAGGGTTTAGGGTTTAGGGTTTAGGGTTTAGGGTTTAGGGTTTAGGGTGACTCCCCTTCAAACCCATCAAGCCCCTAGGCCCAGCCCCTCCTCCCTTTTCGAAGAGTAGTTCCTGAATATGGTGGGCCCTTGGCTTGTATAGGGTGTAGAAGGGTTCCCTTTCCAGGGCCCATACTAAGGGACCCTGCAACTATCCTAAGACCCTTGTCCCCCCAAAACCCAAAACCCTAAACCCTAAACCCTAACCCTAAACCCTAAACCCTAAACCCTAAACCCTCAACCTCTCCAAGTGGTCGGGCCCAGAGGCCCCGGCAACGAGTCTGCCGAGTCCCTGCACCGGGCGAAGGAGGTCGGGTTTAGGGTTTAGGGTTTAGGGTTTAGGGTTTAGGGTTTAGGGTTTAGGGTTTAGGGCTTAGGGCTTAGGGTTTAGGGTTTAGGGTTTAGGGTTTAGGGTTTAGGTGTTCTGGGGTTCAGGGGTTCAGGGGTTCAGGGGTTCAGGAGTTTCGGGCTAACAGGGTTTAGGGGTTTCGGGTTGCGGGTTTCATATTTCAGGTTTAGGGATATCATTGTTCTTGTCTTCTGCTCTTCCTTCACGGTTGTCGCTGTGTCGCACCATGCTAGGTATTGCTAACTGCTTTATTCGTGCATGCGTAGCTGTGTCCCTAAACCCTGAACCCTGAACCCTAAACCCCAAACCCCAAACCCCAAACCCCAAACCCCAAACCCCAAACCCCAAACCCTAAACCCTAAACCCTAAACCCTAAACCCTAAACCCTAAACCCTAAACCCTAAACCCTAAACCCTAAACCCTAAACCCAAACCCCGAGTGTGTGTGTGTGGGTGCATGTTCTTTTAAGTCACAGGGCTTGGTTCAATGAGGAGCTGCGTAGGGCTCGGCGACTCCAAGTCGCCGAGGGCCAAGGGGTAGCCGTCGTTCTTAGGGTCGTTACAAGGGGGTTTAGGGTTTAGGGTGTAGGGTGTAGGGTGTAGGGTGTTAGGGTTTAATGACTGTTTGGGGTTTAGGGTCGAATATGAACGCCTAAATAGTAAGATTCTCTTATAATAAGGACCACAATAGGGTTCCCCTAAGTTCGTAAACCCCACATGGTCCCTCGATACAGGCCTTTCAGTGGGGAACCCTTATATACCCCTTCCATACCCTGTAAGACCCTAGGGCCCGTACTGCAGAACAAGGGACCATACCAAGGGACCATTCAACTTCCCTTAGAGTCGTTCACTGCCGTTGGTGCTTACGTTAAATTCTTTCCTCAGGGTATTTGGCTCTATACCCTAAAAACTTAAACCCCCTAAGCCCTAAAACCCTCAACACGAATTAAGTGGTTCCCTACACCCTCAACACATAAGCCCTAAACCCTAGTGGTTCCCTACGCCCTAAGCCCGAAGCCAATCAGGCTCGATGAGATGTGTAACACGAGGCCTTAAGGTGATTAATGCTATTTACTGCCTGGGTGGGGGCCTTAAAGTGTAGGTCGTTTGTGTCTTCTTCCTCTTCTTTGTTTTCTGGGTCCTTTCTTTTTTTTTCTTGTTGGGGGTGTGGGGGGGGGGGGGGGGGGGGGTTGGGGGGGAGTTCGAGGTTCAGGTTTAACGTTGACTTAAGGGGTCCGGTGGGATTGGATGTCTGGCGTGGAATCCGGCTTCGCGGGTTAAGATTTGGGGCACGTGGAGGTTCACGGTGCTTACAACTAGGTTTACGGGTGGGACAGTTTACGGGTAGTGGTTGGGTAAAACCGTTTAACCACATTTATGGTACTTGTAATCTCACTTTTATAAGAAGCCCCCATGAACCTCGAAGTAGAGAGTCAGCAAACCCTAAACCCTAAACCCTAAACCCTAAACCCTAAACCCTAAACCCTAAACCCTAAACCCTAAACCCTAAACCCTAAACAAGCTACACGGATCAAGGCAGCATCAGGGGTTCTGCGAGGATCGATCCCGCAGAACCTTCAGGCTCAGTACAGCCGAACACGTATTCTTGAAAATATTCTGGGAAAACCCTAGACCCTAATTAAACCCTAAACCCTAAACCCTAAACCCTAAACCCTAAACCCTATAAAAAGCCCCAAACCCTGCACCCCAAAGCTGCTTATTGAACCTCCTGTGGCCAGGAGCGCGAGTCCATGAGCACGTTGACCTACGTGCCCTGGCGAAGCGCGGTTGACGGTTTTGGGGTTGCATGGGTGTAGTTTAGGGTTTCGGGTTTAGGGTTTAGGGTTTAGGGTTTAGGGTTTAGGGTTTAGGGGGGTTATAGGCACCCTAAATCTAGAGAAGGTTATGACTCGGACCCGGAGTAGGCCCTTTTTCCCCTTTTTGGGGGGGCTTCGGTTCGCTTCTAAGCCCCTGTAGACAGAAAAGGGGCACCCTTGCTATTCCTAAATTACTCTTGCGTCTGGTAGCTATAATTACCCTACGTATGAGCCTTATATGGGTTGGTGGTCTCGTAGGTTTTCTGTTTTGTAAGGGGTTTCTTATTAGGGTATCTAGGGGCTATATCAAGGCAGAGGGGTAACAGATAAAGAGGCCACTGGCCTTGATAATATGAGCCTACTTATCATATCAAAACCGATAAACCCGCAAGTTGTCCGGGTTTGGGTTCAAGGTTGGGATGGAGGGTTTCGGGTCTTCAAGTCATGAAGGTAATCCCTGAAAGAGAAGCTCAGAATACTTGCTGCTTGCACATTCAGCCCGTCATACATACCCTCTACCCCAAAAGGGAAGCAAAGCCCAACCCTCATCCCCTCTTGGGAGTCCGCCCCCCCCTCACCCTTTCTCATAAACCCTAAACCCTAAACCCTAAACCCTAAACCCTAAACCCTAAACCCTAAACCCTAAACCCTAAACCCTAAACCCTAAACCCCCCGAAAAAGGGGTACCCTGTTTTCGGAAGCCCTTGATTGGGCTTTCTGGGAAGGGCCGGCCTTCGTGAAAAAAAAGGTCTTCTTTCCGGCAGCATTGGTTTTGGCGGTGCTGTTCGAGGCACCACCGGCCACCCGAATCCCCTAAAGGTTAGGGTTCCGGGGTTTGGGCCTACGATTTTCGGGGCTTTCGTGGCCTTGCAGGATTTATTGTCGTGTATGGTTTAGGCCGCGGTCAATTTTTTTGTTCTTTCTGATTGCCTGTCCTGAGGCTTGAGAGCTAGAGCTGTTTTGTGGAAGGACGATTTCAAACCCGAACCCTGAATCAAAATGCCAGTGGGTTGATTTAGGGTTCAGGGTGATCCCAAACGAGCGGGTGGGGATCCCCCAATCACTACGAGCCAGAACTGGTTTAGAGTTTAGGGCTTTGGGTCAAAGTGAATCGTTAAAGAAATGATAATCTGTTCCTAGGTGTCCTCAACAAAAACGGTCTACCAATTACGAACCCTGTCAACCCTAAGCCCTTGAAGCCTCAACCCTATCAACCCGGTCAACCCTGCCAACCCCGAACCCTTGAACCCCAAAACCAAGACCTTCGCCTCATGCTGTGGAAGGCTGAGCCAAAGCCTTCAACCCCCGAAAAATTCTCGATGAACATTCATTGGGTTGTAGGATCCCAGAATTCACGGGGTTTAGGGTCTAGGGTTTAGAGATTTAGGTCGTTTGTGTTGGGCAGTTTCGCAAAGAATTCTGAGGCATCAGACATGCGCACCCAGAGTTAACCATTAAATCAACCCTAAGGCAACCATGGAGGGCGGCAAGGGTGATGGTAGAGGGCAGAAGCTTCTGACTGCTGCAAGTTGCAAGAAGCCTGAAGATGAAAAGTCCAAGGCTGTTGCAGCCGAACGCGCTGGATTTTGTCATAAGAACGCGCTCTTGGAAACTCAACCCTTCCATAAGCCTACACCATCCTCTTTGAATGAAGAAGCTCTGGAAGCATTGAAGGGATTCAGCAACCCAGACAGCCATTCAGGAACTTGGTTCGAGTTCTTTCGAAGGTTCCTTCTCTGCTACAGATGTCCGGGACGCTGCAGACTGTCTGGTGAGGGGGCAGCATCTGCACAAACAGGAGCGGGGGCACGAAAGGGAGAACCGGTGGTCGCAGAGTTCTATCACACCGCTGTGATGGTGCAGCGGTGTGGGCAATGGAGATGGAGGGGGTTGATGAGGTGGCTGAGGGCGAGATACAGGAAAGTAGTGGGGATGCACTTTTTGACTGGGGAGAGGGATGTACTGTTCGTGTTCTGCCTCTTTGTCCGGGTGTATGTCCTCCTCGTCTCATCCTGGAAATTGCTCGCCGACACACAAAAAGGGGCGATTCCAGGCCAAAAACCCTTAAACCCGACTCCCTAAACGAAGGCCCAGACCCTACACCTAATTCACAAAGTTTGATTCCGGTTTAGGACGTAGACTCAAAGCTTAGGATTCTGCAGGTTAGGGTTTAGGGTTCGCGACGCAGGCTGTGCATTTTCCCTGGGCGGAGGTTGACACTTGGTCGTCGTGGAAGCCTTTTTTCTTTTTGCTGTCCCGTAGCAGAGAACAAGAGTTGAGTCGCCAGAAACCCAGAACACAAAAACTAGAGTTAAACCAACAGGAAAGCATACAGCCCAATGCCGCGCTGCTCTAAAGCCTTCCACCCAAAGCTCCCCAGTGCTCCCAGAAATACACTGAGGACCGCAAGAACTAGCTCCGAAGCCTGCAAACCCTGAACCTTGTGGTACTGTTGAAACCTCTGCCTCTAAATCCCAAACCCTAAAACCTAACCCCCTCTCCACCGTGCGAAAAGTAGGGTTTAGGGTCCAGGGTTCCGAAATGGTTTGATGTTGAAGGGAAGGTTTTGTCTTTAAGACATGTCCTCAGCCCTAAAACCGACACCCTATGTCATTGTGTGGACAGCATTGCACAATATGTGACGATGTATATGTAAATATGCATATATATATATATACATATATGTATGTAGATAATTATATCTTCATCTTTGTTTGTTAGCATTTGCCTATGTTTATATTCATAATGTATAACTTGTATTCTTCATATTCTTATATCTTATATGTTGTGTATTTATTCGTTTATACATGTTTCACACATCGCCCTGAACCCTACATGATACGGCGAACACATGCTGATGTACGTATATGATGCAGGGTTTATATTACTGTTCATGGTGAGTGTATATAAGGTTCCTTTGTAATATTGGTGAGGGTATGTATTTGGTGTCCTGTTGGGGATACAAGAAATATAAACCCTACTTCATATAGCTATATATTCACGTTGGTATATGTGTGTATATCTTCAATCGACAAAGGACTGGTCCCTCCCCCTGGACCGCAGCGACGGCTTAGAAGGCAACGGACGCCCGTTCCCGGGCTCGGGTGCTCGGGTTTAGGGTTCAGGGTTTAGGGTTTACGGTTCAGGGGCTAGGGCCAGGGTCTTGGCGTCGTGGGATTTTAGGGCAAGAAGGTTCTATAGGGTCTGAGGGTCGTAGGTTTGAGGGTTTTCAGAGCGGGCAGTGGGGGAGGGGGGGGTCTTTCCTGCTTGGCCCTTTCGCGGGAAGCCGCACCAGAAAAGGCATGGTCGTGGGTCCTCGTGGGTTCGCTATCGAAGCGGACGAGATCCCTCGCGTGCACCCTCACACGGGACATAAGGCCATGCACTCGCAGTGGTAGGGTCCTGGATGCAATCGCGTGCTGCGGTAATCCCTGTGAGGCTGCAATACAAACTACCTCAAAGAGCCCGTTCAGTTGACATAGTCCCCTAGATTTGGCTTTGGGATTCTTCCCCTTTCACTAACAGTCCTTAGTCCCTATTCAGGACAGTATTCGGGGGAACATCCCAACCCTAGACCCTAAACCCTAAAACCTAAACCCTTATAAACCCTAAATCCCAAGCAGCATCCCAAATGGGCTTCCTTGCGCAGGCTCGGAAAAAGTCGACAGCTCTTTTGCCGGCCTGACAGTGCTGCCGCTGGGCGCAATCCTAGACTCCACGCCTGAGGATAACCCCAAACCCTAAACCCTAAACCCCAGACCCCGCGCCCTAAACCCCAAACCCCAAACCCTAAACCCCAAACCCCAAACCCCTAAACCCCTAAACCCCTAAACCCTAAACCCCTAACCCCTAACCCTAAACCCTTACCGGCTACCTTGCGTGACGTCGGCTTGTAGGTTTGATAGCAAGTCCGGGGCCTAAGCAATCTGGGCCATCCTCATCCCTAAACACAGCCCACCTGGGCCCTCCTTGGCACCCCGACGGGGCCTTAGGGGTTAGGGGTTTGGGGGTTTTGGGGTTAGAGGTTTAGGTGTTTAGGGGTTTTGGGTTTGTGTTTGCGTTGGTGTTTAGGGTTTAGGGGTTTAGGGGTTTAGGGGTTTAGGGGTTTAGGGGTTTAGGGGTTTAGGGGTTTAGGGGTTTAGGGGTTTAGGGGTTTAGGGGTTTAGGTGTTTAGGGGTTTAGGGGTTTAGGGGTTTAGGGGTTTAGGGGTTTAGGGGTTTAGGGGTTTAGGGGTTTAGGGGTTTAGGGGTTTAGGAGTGTAGGGGTTTAGGGGTTTAGGGGTTTAGGGGTTTAGGGGTTTAGGGGTTTAGGGGTTCAGGGTTTAGGCATTTAGGTGTTTCGGGTTTAGGGTTCAGTGCCATTTTTGGATTTGATCCTACTTCTACTGGGATCCTCCAGAAATCCCTCAACAGAAGCGTAAATTCCAAAACATGGTTTTTTTCGAACTTCTTCAAGCGTGGAGACGCAGAGATGCATCTGAGACTGGCTCGCCGCGGATGGGGGCTTGCGCGGATCTACTTTGCCCGGGCCCTTGCAGTGCTAGCACTCTTCAGGGATTAGGGTTTAATAGCGTTCAGAAGGCTTAGGATTTAGGGTTTCAAGGGTTTTAGGAGGTTTGATGTGGGTAGCATCAACTTGATGGGTTCAGGGCGGTTGGGTTTGCGTTTTGGAGCTTCTGCGAATGTACCGAGGTGGGACTCGTGAAGAAAGGCAAGGATCAGAAAGGGTGTAGGGTTAACCCGAAACCCTGAACCCTACACCCTAAACCCCAGAAAAGAGTTTCGGAGGCTGAGGGTTAAGAATTCAGGGTTTCAGGGTTTAGGGTTTAGGGTTTAGGGTTCAGGGTTTCAGGGTTTCAGGGTTTGGGATCTAGGGTTTCGGGGGCACATCCAAAATTGAAACTTCAGGCCTCCCCGCATCAGGGTTCATCCCGTCCCAAAAACGCGTTTCGAATCGACGTAGTGCGGGCGTCTCCCAAATTTGCGGGGTCCTTTTTCATGGGGGGATGGAAACTCCCAGCCTAAACTTCGTTCCTACATTTTAGGTCGAAACCAAAACCCATGTCGATTGTTATCTCAAGAATCCTGTAAAGGGGCTTAGAGTACTAACATACAAAAAGCCAGGCTCTTCAGGTAGGTTTGCGTTTTAGGGCTCTCAGGAACTCTTTTCCATCTGGGGTTTAGGGTTTAGGGTTTAGGGTTTAGGGTTTAGGGTTTAGGGTTTAGGGTTTAGGGTTTAGGGTTTAGGGTTTAGGGCTCGGGGCTTCCTAACCCTGAAGCGCCAAACTGCCCCCCAAAACCTTGAGTAGCATGCTCGTTGGGCACAGAGACCCCAACATAAGAGCCCTTGTAGCCTCCCTGAACCCTAAACCCTAAACCCTAAACCCTAAACCCACGCGGCCAAGTTTGGCGCTGGCCGTGTCAAGGGCCGCTGCTACCTCGGCCTCCTCGCCACAAGGGCTGCGTTTAGGGTTTAGGGTTTAGGGTTTAGGGTTTAGGGTTTAGGGTTTAGGGTTTAGGGTTTAGGGTTTAGGGTTTAGGGTCGCCACAAGGGCTGCGTTCAGGGTTTAGGGTTTAGGGTTTAGGGTTTAGGGTTTAGGGTTTAGGGTTTAGGGTTAGGGTTTAGGGTTTAGGGTTTAGGGTTTAGGGGCTGCCTTTTTGGTTGGCTTCAGGGTTTCAGGGGTTTCAGGGGTTTAGGGGGTCTAGGTTGTATGAGGGGTTTGAGGGGTGTTTGGGGGGGCTTTAGGGGGCTTGAGGGGCTTAAGGGGTTTACGGTTTAGGGGCTTTAGGGGCTTTTGGAGCTGTAGGAGCTTTAGGAGGAGCTGTTTAAGCTTTTTAGTGAGGACTGTTGAAGGGATGTTTAGGGTATAGCGGATTGTGGGACCTCGGGGAGCTTGTAGAATGCAGACAAGTTTGAGGGCAAGACAACAGAACTGACTAAAGGGGAGGGAGGGCCACTCGGAGGCAGTGTTTCTGAAGGCGGTAGAGTCCGCGCCATGTTTTCTTTGCTCCAGCCGATCGTATGGTGCCAGCCGGGCAACAACGCCAGCTTGACGTGGGTTGCATCCATCAGCGCGTCGGAGTTTGCGAGAGGCTCAGATTTGGCCACATGCGACTGGGCCACATGCCCTTCGCGTTCCGGGCTTCACTCAATTCCACTTGAATTCCGGCCCAGGTGCCGGCATGTTCGGTTCGCGAGATCCCCTGGAGCCTAGCGGAGGCAAAGTCGGCATTGCAAAGCTGGCGACCCCGAACCCCGAAGCCCGATCTCCGACCTGCAGCCGCAGGGTTTAGGGTTTAGGGTTTAGGGTTTAGGGTTTAGGGTTTAGGGTTTAGGGTTTAGGGTTGCTCCAATACCCCTTGCAGCAGGGTGGTGTAGCGGGGTCTAGGGTTTGGCAGCATGAGGTTTAGGGTTTAGGGTTGAAGTACAGAATTCTGGAGTTGGGCTGTTCCTGAACACCATGAAGCCCTGTAGTCAAGGGACTTCTATCTTGGACCCATAAGGTTGTATGGTTTTGAAAGATCCTGCAAGGGAAGATCGGGGAGATCTTAGGCGCATATTGATTCGGGTTTAGGGTTTAGGCTCTAGTGGTTTGGGGGTTTTAGGATTTTGGGTTTTAGGGAGGACTTCGGACGTTGTTCCATTTAGTGAAGGCAATGGGTGGGAAAACGGACAGCCAAATCATGTCGGCCTTGCCCTAACTTTATGGGACTCTTCTGTTGAGGGTGTGTGCCCGAAGACCCAATGACCGCACCATGCAAGGTCCTTCGGAGCTTTTGAGCCCTAAACCCTAAACCCTAAACCCTAAACCCTAAACCCTAAACCCTAAACCCTAAACCCTAAACCCGGCCACTGAGCCCTCTCCTTAGGGTGTAGGGTGCAGGGCGTACGGTTTAGGGTTTCTAGACCCAGCTCACCCCAGGTCGCCATCCACTTGCTGGGCATGCAGCACGGATGCTCTATGCCTTCGCCCACAAGACCCAAACCCAGGGTTTTGGGTTTAGGGTTTAGGGTTTACGGTTTAGGGTTTAGGGCTTAGGGTTTAGGGTTTAGGGTTTACGGTTTAGGGTTTAGGGTTTATAGGGTTCAAGGCTCAGGGCTTCTAGCGTTTAAGGTTCAGGGCGTCTAGGCAACCCTAAACCCTAGGGCCAGAGAGTCAGAAACACTCGACACTCTCCCATCCCCTGAATCTTCAAGCCGAAATTCCGGAGGACCTCACACCCTCCAAAATTTCAGCAGCTGAATGGTTTAGGGTTTAGGGTTTAGGGTTTAGGGTTTAGGGTTTAGGGTTTAGGGTTTAGGGTTTAGGGTTCAGGGTTTATATGGTTTAGGGTACTGTCTCTGAAGAGCTCCGAAGAGAAGGTACCTGGACCTGGCCATGTTCGACTTCCAACAGAGGCCGGAGTTCAGAGAGCTTTGGGTGTGGGCTCGCAGGTTTAGGGCTTAGGGTTTAGGGTTTAGGGTTTAGGGTTTGAAAAAGCCCTGAAGTCCTAAACCTTCAACTTGAGTCCTTAAAAGCCCTGGAACCCGAAGCACTCCAAACCAAAACTGCCCGGGTTCCAAAATCCTGAGAATAAGTCCTAAACCCTAAGCCAGGTATTGGAATCTGTATCAGCAGCCGAGCCTGCCTCTGTTCTTCGAGTTGCTCCTTGGTAGTGCTTTCGCGGCCGTGTGTTTCTGCTTCCTAGGTTGGGGTTTAGGGTTTACGGTTTAGGGTTTAGGGTCTAGGGTCTAGGGTTTAGGGTTTCGGGTTTAGGGTTTAGGGTTTAGGGTACGGCGAAGGGTTGTTTTGAGTGAGCCCTGTACGTGGAGAACCTGATTGGGTTTGCATGGCAACCTTTTGAGCAGCGACCGAGGATCCGAAATTGGTTCATACTGCACATCGCCCGCATGATTACATACGTCTACGAGTTCTACGTGGAGGACATGTTCTTCTTGCGCCCTAGCGGATTTGTTTAAACCGCAAGAATTTCATTCTGACACTTCGGGGGTTGACTTGTTTTGGGGTGGTTTTAGGGTGTCAAGGTTTAAAGGTTTAAAGGTTCAAAGTGGGTTTTTTTGCTTTAGTTTTGAAAGGTTTGGACTCAGCGTTGAAAGGTGAAGGGCTTAGGGTTTGTTTTAAGGTTTCAGGTACCCGAAACCCTAAACTCTAAGCGAATCCCTAACTCTACGTGACCCTACACCCAACATGGGAGTTTGCGCAAATAGGGGTAGCTTGATATACCTGCAATCCTGATGATATGACCCCCAGAAAAGGGTACCCCCCCCCCCCCCCCACATGACCCCAAACTTGAACCTGACAGCCGAAAGCCCCTCCAGAAACGAGCAGCCCCGAGGCATTGGCGAGACCACCTGACCAGATACTTTGAGGCGATCTGGGCTGCTTGGTAGCCCAGTGGTACCCCCTTTTGCCCTTTTTTTGGGGTTCTTTAAAAGGGATAAGGAGGGACCCCTAGAAAAACAAACCCAAATCTTGTTCCCCTTTGTAACCCCTACCTGATATAGTCGCTATGTACCTAAGCAGCCCCTAAACAACCCCCCACAGAACCCGTAAGGTCCCTTGTAAGCGTCCCTCCTTTCGTCCCTTGAAGTTCCAGGTTCCCTTTCTCAAGCAACCAGCCCCCCCAAAATAAAGGGGCAATTTTACTAAAATGTGGTGACTGGGCGACCAAGGTCCCGAGCACCTACGTCTTCAAGATGCAGGCAGCTTGCTCGCTTCAGCTTAGGGTGTGGGGTTTAGGGTTTAGGGTTTAGGGTTTAGAGTTTGGGGTTTGGGGTTTGGGGTTTGGGGTTTAGGGTTTAGTTGAGGGTTCCTCAACTCTTGAGCCCCCAAAAACCTGAGACCTCTGTCAGAACTGCAGTAGGATGGAGGGCCAATGTGGAGTTCATAGGGCCCCTAAACTCCTAAACCCTGAGCCCTAAGATTTTTGAGTCCAGGGGTCGTGTGCTGCCCAAGCAGGGGTATGACGGGCTGATTGGTTCCGATGTGTTTTTGAGCAGAAGCGACGGCCTTCCATGTTCATCGTCTGCCTGCCCTCGCTAAATCCTAAAACCCTGCATCACCAGTACTTGTGATTAGAGAACCCTGCACCCCCCAGATCCTAAACGCAACAAAGTGCCCCGAAAGCCCATAAGGTGAGCCTCAACCTTAAAGTCTAGACCATAAACCCTAAACCACAATTATACCCTAAGCCCTTAACCCCTTAACCCGTCCCCCCCTCCCACCCACCCACCCAACCCCAAAAAGACACGCCCGAAGTTGTTACAATCGTTTCAAGCTTCAGCCGCCCCGCTGGCTAGTCGTTCAAGTAATTATCAGGCCATGATTAGTGGTATTGGAGGTTTTGGGTTTGGGGTTTTGGGTTTTTGCGGTTTAGGGTTTGGGGATAAGGCGTTGGGGAAAAGATTCATGGCGTTTTTAGGAGCGGAGCCCTTCATGTGCCGACATCTGAGGAAGGAAGCAAGTTCGACAACCCAGATCAACGCATTCACGTCGACACTGGGCTTATAGTGGGCGGTTCGTTCGACATGCTTTGCGCTCTGAACGCCTACCGCCCAACTGTCAGCCAGAAATGAATTCCTAAACCCTAAACCCTAAACCCTAAACCCTAAACCCTAAACCCTAAACCCTAAACCCTAAACCCTAAACCCTAAACCCTAAACCCTGAGCCGCCAGGACATCGCAAGCTTCATCACGCAAAGCTACTCCCTGACCTTTGGCGTCATGAAGGTGCGGAGCGGTTAGTGCAGGGCACAAGGCTTTTCAGCGGTCCAAAAAGTGGTCAAGACTTTGCATTGGGATCCCTGTTATAATGCACTCTCGGGTGCCCAAAACGATACCACAAGGGGGAAGGGGGGGGGGGGGGGGGGGGGGGGGGGGTGGGGTAAATTCTACTTCAATTCAGGCATTTGCCAACCTCAAAAGTACACCGTGGAGGTGGTCGCTGTTGGTCACCCTGAACCCTAAACCCTAAACCCTAAACCCTAAACCCTAAACCCTAAACCCTAAACCCAAAAAAAACCTAAGCAGAGGGCCACGGAGTTATTCGCGGAGGTTCAGAAGATCCAAAGATAGCAGGTTGGAATACACAGTCGAAGCATGGTCGAGGCTATTCAAATGCGCAACGTTTAGGCTTTAGGCTTTAGGGTTTAGGGTTTAGGGGTACCCTTTGCTGTAATAACCTTGTGGCTGGGCTACCAAGAGGTGCTGGTGATCCTTGGGATGTAACCTAAACCCTAAGCCCTAAGCCCTAAACCCTAAACCCTAAACCCTAAACCCTAAGCCCTAAGCCCTAAGCCCTAAGCCCTAAACCCTACTTACTCTGAAGGTGCTGGTGAACCTTGGGATGTACACCTACATGCTGGCGACCATCACGCCTGCCTCCATGCACTGGGCCTCTTTGGTTGGGACGGCGCCACGGCTGGTGATGGTTTAGGGGTTTCAGGGGCTTAAGGGTTTAGAGGTTTAGGGGTTTAGGGTTAGGAGGGTTTGGGACACACTAGTGACTATAGTCGAGGGATCTACAACCAGAGTCCCAACGCACATGGCCTCCACTTGTCGGCCCCAAGCTACAAGTCCTCCAGGCTGCTAGGGATCCGAAACGTTTCCCTGCGGGGCACGGGGCCCGGGTCAGTGCGTGGAGTATTTCTAACAGCAGGGTTTCCGAAAACAGGAAAATAGGGATGTGATTTTTTGGGGGTTCCTAGAATAAGGACTGTAGTCTTTGGGGGTATATTAAAGGTACCTCCAATCTGGGAACGGCCCAAGTGCCGGTGCAACTAACTGTCCATGTATGCGGTTTTCGGTGGGGATGGTTAGAGATTAGAGTTCAAGGTTGCAGAATTGCTGAATTCTGAAGTAGTGAGAATCCTGGCCCCTCCCACCCCCTTTTCCGCATTCTTTTGGGGGTTTCCGAAACTAGGGGTACCTTCTTGGGGTCCTTATATTTGCCAGGGAATCCTGTTATATTGGGGGTCTAGATGAGGGTCCCTTATTCTCGCAACTCCCTTTTGAATTCTCCAGAATGGAACGAATTTTCAGCGCCCAAGCCGGTGCCTGCGCATGACCGCTGGCCAGTACGGGCTGTCGATTGGATGTCCAGTTGGAGACCGTTGGCCGAAAATAGGGGACCCCTTTTTGGGGGGGGTCCCTTTAAGGGGAGTCGATCCTATTTGGGGTATAAAAGGGGTACGCTTTTTTTGCAAATACCCAGTTGCAAGCCAGAAGATGCCTTCGCAAATGATGCTGCGCCCCAGCCTTTCAGATGAGGAGCTCTCTTGAGTGTGGGTCCACATGCAGCCTCCCGAGGAACCCTACACCCCAAACCCTCCCTAATTAAAGCTGAAGGGTTCAGGAAGGACCATGACATCTGACCCTCGGTCATGGCGCCTGTCATGCTTCCAAGCAGAACGTGGACCTAGGGATTTCTGAAGCCTTGACCCTGAGCCCTGCACCCTGAACCCTTAGGCCCTCAGCCCGAAACCCTAAACCCTTCAACGCTAAGCCGACCTGGCAGTGAAAGTCAAGCTGCAGCGCAGGCGCTTCTGTACTCCCTGGTGGGCTCCTGCGCAGCTTGGCCGCCCTGAAAGAGTTTGTAAGGTTTGGGGTTTGGGGTTTAGGGTTTAGGGTAAAATAGGGTTTCTGGTTTATCAGGGTTTAGGGTAAAATAGGGCTTAGGGTTGCTGGGTTTAGGGTTAATTAGGGTTGAGGGAGTTCCTAACCCGCAAGCCCAAAGATTTTGGTTGGCTCTAGTCACCCGTAGTCTTGCTCCTGTTGCAGAGGCCGTGGAGGGTTTTTCTTGTAGACCTCATTCAGGTACACCCTCAAGCCCAAACCCTAAACCCAAGCCCTGTACCCCAACACCCCTACACCCTAAACCCTAAGCCCGAAACCCCCTATATCCCCTAAAGCCCTAAACCCTAACCTGAAAACCCTAAACCCCCTACAACCCGTAAACGCCCCCAAAACCCCTAAAGCCCCTAAGCCCCAAGCCCTAAGCCCTAAACCCTAAACCCTAAGCCCTAAGCCCTAAACCCTAAACCCTAAACCCTAAACCCTAAACCCTAAACCCTAAACCCTCAACCCTAACCCTAAACCCTAAACCCATGCCGGAGGTCATGCACTTTGTTGGCTCCGAGCTGGCGCACTTCAGCTGGCGGCTTGGGGACGCATTTGTGGGGTTTAGGGTTTAGGGTTTAGGGTTTAGGGTTTAGGGTTTACAGTTTAGGGTTGCAGGGTTCCGGGGAGTTTAGGGATTCTGGTTTAGGGGGTTTTAAAGGTTTCAAAAGGGGTTTAGGGGGTTAAAAGGGGGTCCAGGGGTTTAAAGGGGTTGGGGGTTTAGAGGGTTTAGGTATACTGCAGTGCTTTAAGGGGTGCCCGGGTTTCGCCGCCCGCAATTCCTGAGCCTTGAGCCCTCAACCCTTGTTGCTGTCCTAAACCCTAAACCCTAAACCCTCAACCCTAAACCCTAAACCCTAAACCCTAAACCCTAAACCCACTTGAGCACCAAGCCTCCCAGCCTCCCATAAACGCAGCCCCACGGTGCTTGAGCCACCATAGAAGTGTAGAGCCCCCCCAAAAAAAAGGACCGTTCCCACTTCCTAGAACCCAAATCCTCAATCCCTTAGGCCCTTAAACACTTAAACCCTAGCGGTTCAGAGTGTAGAGTTTAGGGCTCAGGGTTCAGGGTTTAGGGTTCAGGGTTTAGGGTTTAGGGTTTACGGTTTAGGGTTTAGGGCTTCAAACGCACAATGCCCGACAGGCTGGGCGAGAGGCTCGGCGGCGACTTCCGCGGGGAGCTGCGGACTCCCACCAGCACTTGGGGGTTTAGGGTTTAGGGTTTAGGGTTTAGGGTTTAGGGTTTAGGGTTCAGGGTTCAGGGTTTAGGGTTTAGGGTTTAGGGTTTAGGTTCAGGGTTTAGGGTTTAGGGTTTAGGGTTTAGACTGCCACCAGCACTTGGGGCAGTTCTCGAAATTAATATAGGGGCCTCAATGAATAGAATAGGGTATTTTGGGGGGTCATTATAGTATAAATCTAAAGGGACCAACCACAAAAGAATACTGTTAGTAATTATTCCGACCCCTATATTAGGGTCCCTGTTTTGGATCCCTGTTTAAAGGGCGCCGCCTTATTCCCGGAACCACGTAGGTTAAGGGTTTTGGGGATGAAGGTTTTTTGGGTTGTGTGAGTAGGTATGGTTAGTATGACGCCACTGATGGGTGCCCTACACACTGCACCCTACACCCTAAACCCTAAACCCTAAGACGCCCAAAGCCTATGGGGGGTGCGCTTATTTCAGATTTCCTGAGATCTGGGCCCTGAATGCGTCTAGTGTTTAGGGTTTGGGGTTTAGGATTTGAGGTTTACAATTTGGGGTTTACGGGTTAGGATTTGGAGTTTAGGGTTTAGGGTTTGGGAGTTGGGACAGCCGAGGAGGGTCTACGATCAGAGTGAAACCGTGGCGAGTATCCGGTCGGAGGAGGCAGGGGGAGAGCCAACTATTAAGTCATAACAAGATAACAAGCACCGAAGACCAGTAGTACCCTTATTCCCTTTTTTGGTGAGCATAGGTTCCCTTATAGACCCTAGACTAGACCTCAAGCCCTAAACCATAAACCCTAAACCCTAAGTCTGAATCCTTGTACTGGGTGGGCAACTTAGTCACCGCAGCACTCGCAATTTCATCCCGCAGTCTCCAGAGCTTAGCGCTGCCTCAGCCTTATCTTGGTGGCCCAGTGGTACCCTTTTCCCTTTTTTGGGTTCTAAGTTCCCTTATAAAGTAGCCAACCCGGAGTCCTAAACCCTAAACACTAAAAGGGTACCCCTAAACCCTAAACCCTAAACCCTAAACCCTTATGGGTACTGGGCTACCAAGATTCAGCTGCCAGACCCTTCTTCAAGCTCCAAGAAAACCGAAGCCCTCAGTGGGCTTCAAGGTTTTGGGGCTTTGGGGTTTTTAGTTTAGGGTTTAGGGTTTAGGGTTTAGGGTTTAGGGTTTAGGGTTTAGGGTTTAGGGTTTAGGGTTTAGGGTTTAGAGTTTCGAGTAAAAGCCTATAGAGCCTAAACCCTAAACCCAGGCCGAGCTCCAGCGCTTGCAGCACCGCTTTGAGCGCATCAAGCTCAACACCTGGCGGCTCGGGAGTGCTCGAGGCGTTTAGGGTTTAGGGTTTTAGGGTTCTAGGTTTTAGGGTTTTAGGGTGTTAGGGTTGTTAGGGTTTTTAGGGTTTTTAGGGTTTTTAGGGTTTTAGGGTTTTAGGGTTTTAGGGTATTTTAGGATTTTAGGGTTCTAGGGTTTTAGGGTTTTAGTGTTTTAGGGTTTTAGGGTTTTGGGGTTTTTGGGTTTTAGGGTTTTGGGTTTATATATATATATATGAGCCTGAGACCTTTAGGGTTCTTTTGGCTTAGTTTTTATAAGCCCTCTTAAATAAACAAAGCCAAACGCGATAAATATAGGAATATATATGCTCTTAAATGAACGCGTCCACTACATGTCTCGATCTGTTCAAGTATAGCTCAGCTTTCTACTCCCTAAACCTGAAACGTTAAACCTTGAAACCTGAACTTCAACCCTTTAAACCTAATCTTTATTTTTTGACCCTTAACCTTGAAACCTTTAAAAGTAAACCTTAAACTCGCGAAGTCCTAACTTTTAACTTTCACCCCTAGGCTCGTGACTGTAATCCGACGCATCTTCTCGCTTCCTTGCTCATGGCTGTGCTTGAAACACAGGCGTGCTGCGAGTACCTGCGAGTCCATCATCTCTGCCTATGCGTGTCGCTTTTATCAAGATAAGTCATGATGGCTCGCGCTTCGGATAGTCTGTACATTGCAGAAACAAATGCACGGTTTAGGTTTAAACCTTCAAGGTTTATGGTTTAGGGTTTAAGGTTTAAGGTTTATGGTTTAGGGGATAGGGTTTAGATTTTAGAGTTTCGGGTTTAGGGTATAGGTTTAGGGTTTATACTTAAAGGTTCGGGTTTATGGGTTTTCGATTTAGTCCCTTTTATGATGCAGCTCAAAAAAGGTCTCTGCTCATCTGCACGTGGTCAGTTGAGGCTCCAGAGAGACATTATTCACTAAACCACAAGCCATAGACCCTAAACCTTAACCTCTAAATCCTAAACCTTGAACTCTAAGCCCTAAACCGTAAACCCACAAGGGCCTTACTTTACTTCAAAAACTCCCCGCGCAGAAGAAGACACAGATGAAGAAAGTCATAAGCTGAGCTCGAGCTCGGAGCTGCTCATACATCTACACCTGTCTAACATTCCTCATCAGTTTCTACTCCCTAGATTTTAAGCCTAACACCCTGAACTTTAAACCCTTAACTTTGAATCCTAAGTCGAAAACATTAAATCCTCCACCTTGAAACACTCGGAGCCTTAACCCTAATCCCTTGAACCCTTATATCTCAACCCTAACCCTTAAGGTCGTGATCCTGATCTAAGACGCCTCCCAGCTTCCTTGCTGCGGGCTGTGCTTGCAAAACTAACATGCTGAGAGTCCAGCATCTCTGCATGTTCTTGTCGCCTTTTCTTGTTCTAGACGATACTGGCTCGTGCTCTAGAGATCTGATTGTCATCTGATTGTCCGCATTGAAACACAAAGCCACTACTTCCTGCAGGATTTACTAAGCCCAAAACCCCAAACTCACAAGGGCCTCACTTTAGTAGACACACTCCTAGCGCAGACAAAAACAGATCAGGAGAGCCGTTAAACTCAGCTTGTGCTCGGAAATGCTCATACGTCTCCACCTCTTTAACATTCCTCAGCGTTTCTTTGTGCTGAACCTGAAACCTTAAACTCTGAGCCCTGAACCCTAACTTCTTAAACCTAATCTTTAAAATCTGCTCCTAAACCTTGAAACCTGTAACAGTTAACCTTAAACCCACGAAGTCCGAACTTTTAACGTTCAGCTCTAGGGTCGTGACTGTAGTCCGATGCATCTTCTCACTTCCTTGCTCATAGCTTTGCTTGAAACACTGACTTGCTGCGAGTAGCTGCGAGTCCATCATTTCTGCTTATGTGTGTCGCTTTTACTAAGATAAGTCGTGATGGCTCGCGCTTCAGATAAGCTGTACATGGCAAAAACAAACTGCACGGTTTAGGCTTTAACCTACAAGGTTTATGGCTTAGGGTTTAGGGTTTAAGGTTTAGGGTTTTAAGTTTATGGTTTAGGGTATAGGGTTTAGGTTTTAGGGTTTCGGGTTTAGGTTTAGGGTGAAGGTTTAGGGTTTATAGTTAAAGGTTCGGGTTGTTGGGTTTTAGGTTTAGCCCCTTCTATGATGCAGCTTAAAAAGGGTCTCTGCTCATCTGCACCCGGCCAGTTGAGGTTCCAGAGAGACCTTATCCACTAAACCATAAGCCATAGACCCTAAACCCTAAACTTTAAACTGTAAACCTTGAACTCTAAGCCCTGAACCTTAAACCCACAAGGGCCTTACTTTACTAAACAAACTCCCCGCGTAGATGAAGATACAGATGGAGAGAGTCCTGAGACTGAGCTCGAGCTCGGAGCTGATCATACATCTCCACCTGTCTAACATTCCTCGTCAGTTTCTACTCCCTAGATTTTAAGCCTTACACCCTCAACTTTAAACCCTTAATTCCGAATCCTAAATCGAAAACATTAAACCCTCCGCCTTGAAACACTCTGAGCCTTAACCCTGACCCCTTGAACTCCCATATTTAAACCCTAACCCTGAAGGTCGTGATCCTCATCTAAGACGCCTTCCAGCTTTCTTGCTCAGAGCTGTGCTTGGAAAACTAACATGCTGCGAGCAGCTCTGAGTCCAGCATCTCTGGATGTGCTTGTCTCCTTTTCTTCCTGTAGATGGTAGTGGCTCGCGCTCTAGAGATCTGACTGTCCGCACTGAAACACAGAACCGCAACATCCTGCAGAATTAGCTCTGGCATCCAGGAACCTATGCTTGAATGCCTCGACGTCTGAGATCCAGCAAGGGCCATTCATCTCCAGACAGTCTGAGAAGCACCGTAAAACTCTAAACCCTAAAGAAAAAACAACATCCAGAAAAAAACGATACTTGGGAGCTTTGAGTCACTCGATTCTTGCGTGACTTTAATTATATGATTGAGACTCTAAGGTTTATCATTTCAATGTTTTGGGTTTAAAGATTTCGACTTAGGGTTTAGGGTTTAGGTTTTAGTATTGAAGATTAAGATGTAGAGTTCATGCTCTAGGGTTTAGAATTACCAGGCAATCCGAGAAGCAACGTTAAACTCTAAATCCTGTGAAAAAAACTAACAAAAACGAGACTTGAGAAGCTTCGGGATACTCGTTAACATAGCTGCTTAGCTTCCCGAACAACCTTTCCTGTGGCCCTACCGCATCTCGGCAGCATAAATCATCTACTCGATCTCTCATGTGAAAGCTGAACACGCTCAGTCAAGATCTTCCCCATCGTCATCCTGTCAGATGATTTCGCGTCTTATTATTTCAGGATCGTAAATTCCACTGATTCAGATTTGAAGTCGAACCTTTATACACTTGCAACGAAGACCATTAACCTTGCTGCAGGATTCGAAGTGTAAGGTCTGGGAGTATGTCGGAGATCATCATCCTTTTATGTTTCAACTTCTTGCTGCGCGCAGGATTAACAACGAATGCCAAGTTTCTCTTCTCGGGGCGAACCACAGCATCTGCGTAAACGCAAGGGCTCATGATGAGTCTGTGTGGTCTAGTATTTTATGCCGCCTCGACGTCGACGCCTGGGAATATTGTTTCGGACGTAGTACGAATTACGTCCTTTCCGCATCAATGCAAATCTCGATGACATGTAATTTAATATTATTCGCACGTAAGTCTGCTCATCAGACGAGTCCTTTGCGCGCAAAGCCCTTGTACCAGGAGAATCGCGACAATCTTGACCATGAGCATGCCTCTTTTAATTCCTAGCGCAAGAAAAAGAACTCACACAGAACAAGAACTCGATGAGCCTTTGTCGTTGCAGTCTTCTTTGTCGTAAAGGTCCGAAAAATTATATTCTTCGCCAAAGTGTCGCCTTAAAAATTGAAGCGTGCAGGATTGTAGAGAGACATTCGAATCTTAGATGCAGCTCAGAAACACCAAGTAAAGATACTGTCCATCTTCAAGCAAAACCCGATGGGCTTCCCTGCAGTCATGGTAATGCATTGTTTTCGATTATATTTTAATAAGACAAATAGTTATAATAATACTAGTATTACTAAAAATATTAATAATATCAATGATACGAAAATAAAATCATAATACAAGCTAAGCCACACTGATGCTGTCCGCGAGGAAGGCTGAAGATCTCATCGTCGATATTTGGATTTGTTGCAGCGGTCGACCTGAAGACATACATGCTTGATAAAATTTCTTATAGAAATGTATAATTGTCACATATTTATGTATGTTAAGAATATTAACGTTCTTGCAACCTCCAGGTCCAGACAATGTCAGAGCAGTGGTCAGCTGCACGAGACCTTAGACAATATACGCGCGTGCGGTGTTGTTATCATGCGGTCTTACAGGAACTGAGGCCTTTACTCCATCTCGACGAGCTTGAGGATGCTCGGGTGCGTCACAGAGGCTGACCTATGAGCACAGCTGCATGAATGGGGCAGCAGGGGTATCTTATTCTAAACTAAATACTAGACAGGTGTCTGGAAAAGATGCCAGTGGTGGATGCCTGCAATCCTCGGCCGCCGCATTATGTTGGGGAGAAACATTTAGTTATGGTTTGTGTACAAGAGTTAAGACCCCCACTCCATGTTGAGAAGTCGCCGCGTTTGCATACACTCATTTCCAGTCTCCTGGCAGATACGCTGACATGACATGCGTTTAAATCTAAGCGAACATCTGAAAAGAAAAACATCACTTAACATTCTCGTCTCGGGCGCAGCTCGTCGTTGACATCAGGACCAGCGTCCAAACGGATCTCCTTCAACACCACGTTCGTCCTGCTTGTCATGCACGGATAAGTATATATGACGAGAAATCAAAACTCAACACAACTTCTGCATCCAGCACTCTCCTTGTCAGTCGTCCGTCAGGACCGATTAGCCCTCAAACAAAAACGAGTCGCGATATTTTTATTGATATTTTTGTAGTAAGTTCCTGACACGTAGCTGCGTGACGGCGAGGGC